AATAATAAAAATGTTAGACGTCTTGTCTTATTTGATTTTTATTAAAAATATTTTCAAATCGATTGTAATAATAGGTTTTTTTCCATTTTTCTTAATATGATTGATTTCTAAAAATAACCTCTCATTTCAGTATTTCTTAAAAGATTTTTTTTTTTTTTGTCGTTACGCCATATCTTAGTTAATTGTTTATTAAATTCAATGATTAAGTCATAATTTTAAAGAATTTTTCTCCTTCTGGCGAGTAAAATAATCACATCCCACTAAATTCCAAGAAAACAAGTTATGCCGGAATAGAAATTTTATTTAACTAATGTACATTTTATTGTTATTTAAACCATGATTATTTGAAAGGTTTCTAAATCCCCTACAAAACCAAATAAAAAGTTATCGAAATCGCGCTATAATAGCAAAGATAAATGTTATTGTAATTTGTAAACATGTCGGTTTAAATATAAATAAAGATATAAATTAATTTTGTCTATTTCGATTTCTGAGAAAATTCTCCCATCTTATGATTTGTTGCATCAACTTATTTCCTTATTATTTTGTAATTTGTTTACTGACTAATATACTATGCGAATTATTTCATCGGGCCAACTAGTATTATTTATTGTTTATACTGCCATTGTGTCCGATATTTAAAAAAAAAAAAAAAAAAATCAAGATGGTGACTATTTGAGGAGGCAGGTGTCTTAATTTATGTTGAGGATGAGACATTCCCTTTTTTTTAGCTCAAGGTTACATCTTCTAGGCTCTTCTTTAAGCTATAGGTCTATAAAGTTAGTTAAGAAGTAGAACGAGTGTAACTACGATAATCGAACTTTCCTCCTGATCAATCACCATCTTGGTTCCTAAAAGCATCATTAGGCTGGTGTAAATCATTTTGAAATATTCAATCACAATTGAAGAGACATTGTACCAGTGAAAAGTACAACAAAACTTTAGAGCAGCTCAATTATGTTGAATTGCTAAAACATCCAGCAAACTGATCTGTCCCAATCGATAATGTTTAATGAGAGAGGACAAAAAAATAAAGTTTTGCAGGACAATCATCTTAAGTACCGAATGTTATAATATATTTTCACCGTTTTATTTTCTCATTTTCTTCCCTCTCACGGCTGTCCGTTGAGTTTATAACGAATTGGTCAGAATTAATACAAGTGACGGAGCAGCATTCCTAATGAGTGTAAAATAATTGATTTCGCCGTGCTCTGAATATGGCTCCTTTCGATACCTAGCTTTTCAAAAAACTTAGCAATTGAAAGTCCCCGAACCGAATATTCTCTTTCACCAAGTTCCTGTCTATATTTTTCCTGCAGGTACGGAATGCATTTTTTATAGATCTTCTCTTTTTTCTGTTTTTATTTTAAGATTTTGATCCTTATTGTTTGTTTCAAATCGAATTGTAAGATCGACTTTTTTTTTTATTATTTTTTTATGATTATTTATTTTATTTTTTTTATTTGTTCTTCCCTACCTCGCCTATTAGGCTATACGGGATTTTCCCGGGTCGGGGGTTGAGAGCGGAGAATTTAAAATCCCCTCCGGCACCGGGACGCGAACTCGTATTTTTTTAAATCATCTCAAATCTCTGTTATCCGGTTGCCAGGCAACTAGCGGTGCTGTGCACACGCTTTAGCCCATTCGGCCACACCGCCCCCCGATTTGTAAGATCGACTAACTAACTAACAAGATAAGTAGGTCACCAATTTCAACCAATTTTTTTTTCGATGATAATACGTCGAAAAATATTGGACGCATGCCCCGCCGTTATTTCCAACATGCCCTAGCTGCCGAGAAAAAAAATATGTTATATAATTTCAAACAAAATGTATGCTATTTATTATTGCCTTAGCTTAGCCCGAGATTTTAGGTTGTTAGGCATGAAACGATTTCTTTCTTTTTTTTGTACAGAAGAAGAAAAATATATTGACTGTTGCATTAAATGAGTTATATCATAAATTACAAAAACCAAAAGGCGCTTCCAGTAAAGTAAGCCAAGTAAGTTTTCGTTATAAAAAATTAAGTTAGATTCGTTTTTAAGTATCCATTGAAATTCTTAAATATGATTTTTAATAGAAATAAAAAAATTCTAAATATAATACTTCATTTTCTTAAGAAAGATCAGACCGCTGTTCTTTTGTCGACTCGCTTCCTTGCTATTACTGACGTGAATAAATGTCTGTCGAGTGCTATTTTGGCATGCAAATCCCTTCTCTATGATCTAACACTCCGAGGCACCTATGTGCTTCTACAGTGGATTTCGAGTCATTGCGGTATTCCAGGAAATGAAGCCGGTAGTCTAGCCAGGAGAGGAGCAGAATTGCCACAAACAGTCCATCCAAAATCTTACGATTCAATTCGACGAATGGTGAGGATGGTAGTGAAGGAGGAAACAAAAAATATGCACAAGGGGGAAGGGAGACGTTATGGATGTTTGTTGGAAAACCCGATCCCAGCAGACCTACCTAGAAGAGATGCAGCAGCCTGCTTCCGCCTGGCCAATGGTCACGACTATCTACAAAGTCGTCTCCACAAGAAAGGCGTGGCTGAGGATCCTAGGTGTAAATTATGTGAACAAGCGGAAATGGATGCTAGCCACCTAGACAAATGTCCTGCTTTGTCGGATATTAAGAATAAAGATATGTAAATGATAATACAAAAAAATCAAACTTATACTGGGCAGCAAGATGTCGAATGGTCGAATGACCAATGACTATGGCATAGGAAAAAAAAATTCTTAGAGGATTGTTAAATAATTAATTTAATTATTTAATAATTAAATCAACTTCTCAGAATTTTGTCCAACTTCAACGCTAGTACAACCATTGGGAAGCTGAATTACTGATCTTCCAACCCACATCGATTTTATTTTAATTCGATAAACATTAGACCACTGAGACAAAATTGTTGGGAAATTTAAATTTTTTTAATGTTTATTCAAATTGTCAAACAATCAGCTTTTGATGGATTAGATCATGAAAGTTTTCTATTTATTACGGAATGAAAAACCCTTTTTTCTTTCAAATTGCATTAGAAAACATTTACAGTTCATCAAAACCTAACATAACATCTCGTGAAAAATGCCGACCGAACTCATGATGTTCTACTCCAGTAGGGCTAAAGATCACTGCTACTGACTGATACAGATGTTCTCTTATACATATAAATGTGATTAAAGTAATTACTGCCTAGAAAAAAAAAGAAATAACGTTAATTCAGTTGAAAAGGTCATTGATTGAATTATACAGCTAACAGTTTCTCAATGTTATATAAAATGTATATTCAGAAAAATCACTCATACTCTTAAATAAGATAATATGAGCAAGCAATTTTTTTTTTTTTTACAGAATTTACGTTTTGATGCCTCTTATCGAATGGAATAAGTCCCAGCGTGAAGCTTAGTGGAGTTAGTTGTTTATTTTGATTTTATACTTAAATCGTACTTCGATTTTTCCTAGCTATATCAAAGAAAACCAAAGAACTGTAAGACTATGCCAAATTAATATTTTTTTTTTATACTTATTAGTCCATAACAATGACATTTCAAAGAAAAAACGTCTACCAAGGAAGGTCAGTATAGCTTCCTCACCGTTTGCATTGGCTAAAAAATATCTATATTACAAGCTCTAAAATTTTTCATATGAGAATAAAATCTCTTTTTCCGAAATTCAGTAATCCCTCAACATATACGGGTTTGATATCCACGAGGTTTGTTCATCAGCGAATACTAAAATGCGAAAAAGTTCCGCATATGCATATTGCATATTTGATGACTCGGAATTTCATAATTTATTGCCCTCTGCTATTTTTCATCGTAGTAGAATACTTATGATCTTTTGCACTAACATTAGTTATATGTACTTAATCGGCATGTTTTCACTCGTAAAATCGATGTTACATAAACTCCATGAGAGAAATAAGAAAAGCTAAACTTTTTGTTTTTTCTTAACGTTAACGAGACCAATACTTTTCTACTGTCAGAACAAAACTATTTAAGCTGGAATATAAGAATTTACGAGAAAATCACACATAAGCTCGATACCACGACGAGCTGGTTGAACTTCAATACAAATTAACACATATTTTTACAAACTAATTAATTTAAATTTATTGAAAATTACACGAAATTTAAGTAACGTTTGGAATCGACGAAATAATAGAGTATAAATTAACTCTTTGAATAAAACCTAAAATTTTATAATCCCATAAAAATATTGTCCTAACCTAACTCCCACTCCATATGATCAGTTCCTTTTACATTTTACTACCATTATATTGTTAACAATTATTTATATTAATTTAATTATTGAATGGAATTCAGTGAAATTCCTATTAGGAAGTTTCTATACTATTCTCTAAATTTCCTCCAAGTTTGGGTACAATTGAACGCGCAGTTTTCAAACTATAGGCTTGTCAAACAATATAATACGTTTGCTGATCCAAAAGCGAAAGTGTTTTTTCTAGGAGAAGTGAGTAGAATTTCATAAAATTTTTCAATTCTGAGCACAAAAAATTTGTTAACCTCGCCTCCGGTAGTGAGGAAGCAAAGATCAATAACATCACTCTTATTGAGATCTACAATATTTATTCAAAATATCTGTAAATACCAATAATTTTATGTAGAATCACTGAATTTTTTTTTTTAATTTGTATTTTGAAAAGTTAAATCAGGGAAAACTGGAGAAAATAGTAATTGCTCTACGTTCTAGAGATGTCAAGAAAATATAAAATTGCACAAAAAGTGAGATTGGAAACTTTAATGTTTGTGTTTTTTTCCGTCTCTGAACCACTGTGTGGCGTAGCAATGTGGGAGGAAATATTTTTTATTTTTAGCCACGACATGTGTCACATAATTTTTTCGAGAAGTATCACAGAAAACAAAATTGGTGATCCTCAACAAGGATAAACATGAAATGAAAAAACATTCTGAATCCATGTTTCTCAGAACCCACTTAGTTTCCATTCTACGCAAACTAATTTTCCTTTTGTTGATGCAGGGAACAATGAACTATACGGAAGTGAGATGACCGAAGGCAGGGAAGAGTTCGTTGTGGTCCGCGGAGCCTACAAGCGATATGGGCTCAAGGCGGTCGTTCTCAACGGACTCAACATGACAGTGGAGAAGGGAACTGTGTAAGTACACATTTACTATAGTAATTATTATTTGTTCTTAAGTAACTTAATTTATTAATATATAAATGCTTTAATAGTTTTCTAACTCATACAAATTTTTTTTTTTATTCATTTATATTTACAACTGTATTATAAAAAAAATACAATTAGTAAATGTAAAATTGCTTGTTGAGAAACTACCCATTGATAGAACTCAAATAATAGATTTACACAAGAAGATCACGAGGCCACCTTCTTTTCAGACGACTCGGAGGATTATCAGGGATCGAGGAGGAAGCAAGGTTTGAAACGAGAGGGTTCGGATGGTTCTGGAGTTAGTTATGGAAAGATAGGTATCTAGATTGGGCCAAATTGGAAACATATGGAACATTAAGGTCTTTATGGATGATTTTATTTGTGACAAAGTAAGGAGCGTTGAGGATTATGGATTGTAAGGATTGGATACGAGAGGAATTCGATGGTTTAGTGGAGCCCCAAAGTTCAATTCCGTAAATCCAAATAGGTCTAATAATTGTCATATATATATGAATCGTTTGTAATTGATTGAAAGCTTAGAGCGGTTGTCTAGTAAGTGCTGGAGTAGTCGGAAATGTCGAGCGGTTTCTTGTCGTTTCAGTCTTGTATGAGGATTCCGTGTGTGTCGTTTGTCCAGATGAAGTCCTAGGTAATGGATTTGTTCAACTAGGATTAATGGGGATTGTTAAAGGATATTATAGGACAGGAAGTCATAGGTTTACGGTAAGAGTAAAGGTAATTTGATGGGATTTGTTGGAGTTTATTTTAATCCTTCAGTTTTGACACCATTCTTCAAGACTTGTGTGATTGAAGAGCTTGACTTGGGATGCAACAGATGAATCGTTATTAACAGATACGATACATGTGTCATCGGCATTCGTGGTGATGACAGTGTCAGGATGGGTTGGGATGTTAACTGTATAAAGTGTGTAAAGAATAGGACCAAGGATTCTACCTTGAGGAACATCAGCAGACTGGGAAAAAAGGAATGAATATGAATAAATGATATTATCTAAAATATGTTATAATATTATTGTGGAAGACCTATTAAAAATCATAATTTACAAATCCATTATCCTTCCTACGGTTCTTTTTGGATGCGAAACTTAGCCACTTACATTAAGGGATGAGCAGCGACCGAATAAGAATGAGTCAACTGGAGAATTTAAGCCGTTACACAATGCTGAATTGTGCGAATTGTCTCCGGTTAATATGATTGAGATGATTAAGTTGATGTTTTTAAAATAGGCATTTGAAATCACAGGGATTAGTAATAAAAGAATTCCTAAAAAGTTAATAATATTTCTAAAAAGGAAGGTGGGAAGATCACATGAAGTCTTATTGGGAGGGGTTTGCTTTAGACAGCTCCCGGTGGATGGAAGAAAGTATGCATCTATTGGTGGTATCAGAATCGAACCTTCGGGTTCGCTAAGCCTTATTATTAATATTATTGTTGCGGAAGACCAATGCTACATGTATAAGAACAGGATTTCTGAACTACAACCATCGTTATTGAAAATCACTTTCAACACTGGTTGTGTGTAATCTTGTTTCATTCATTAATGCAGAGGCGCCAGAAAGGGGGAATGACGAATTGTGCCATCAAAATGTTTTGGAGAAGCAAATTTTTCCGGAGTTAGTATTTTTGAGGGAGGACATTTTGAAGGGTTTGTGAACTTTAGGAGAACCGTAGTTTATTGTGTGATCGATATCAATTGACAATACTAGCAAAACTGAAAATGTTAAAATAAAATAGTAGTTTAATTTAAAAAAAAAAAACTATGGAAGTAGCCCTTATGGTAGTTCCAACCTTGGAGTTGCAGTTAAGTAGCTGCTTATCTACTGAAACACATTGGTAGATTCTTAGTGAAATTGATATATATGAAAATTTAAACTTAATATGGTAGATTATATTGACTCAATGTAATATTATTAAGTGCCTTCCTCTACATATCCGTAATATGCAGATTCGTTCCCATCACAGTCAACATCCGAAGAGTCTTGAGTTTATTTTGGGCATGGAAGGCATAGGTGCAGACTTTGGGAGGGGGGCTAGAATATTGTTTCACTCTTCACCCCTGATATTTAAAAGAACAAAAATAAAATAAAAATCAATAACTATAAATCTATATGAATGAACAAAATATGTAAACTAAAATCAATTAAGAAAATAGAAAAAGTTGATTAGATGGCTAAGCTAAGGCCTAGAAATAGTTACTCAATTATTTGACAGCACCATATGCCCATATTATTGAAATTTAAGTTTACATTCAAAGGTTTATATCTGTGTGTTAAGTGCATTCTTATAAATTTTTATGAGTATCACCAAAAAGCTAATTTTCATTTTCTCTTTATTTGTGTCTAATTGGCTAATTTATATGGCTATTACAGAGAAAAATATTACTTGTGAATCATGGGTTGGAACTCGAAAATTGAACTTGCACCTGTGAAGGTTCTAAACTTTCAATTACATTTTTCTAAAAATATGATTTTTGCACTTAACACATTATGCACAGGTGCCACAGATATGTAGTAACATAACCTAGGATTTTATGGTTCATTCGTGTGTTCATAATTCATTCAATGTAACTGTAAATAGTTTTACGAATGACAAAAAACAAAATAGATTGTTAAAAACTTTATTTTCAGTTATGCGTTCCTTGGACCCAGTGGCTGTGGAAAAACTACTCTCCTTGGTTGTATAGTTGGAAGAAAACGGTTAGATGCTGGCGAAATTAGGCTCGGTATCAAATATAAATCAGATATTGGTTACATGCCTCAGGTAAATAGTTAGTATAATGAGCTTTTAAACAATACTATATACCAATTAATTCAGTTATTGTTTAATAAATTAATTAAATACACTGATAGTATATAATTAATTAACTAATCCTGGTTTGGATATATATAATTTTTTTTTTATTTCTTAATGACATTTACAACTGTATTACCTAAATACATGAAGTAAATTTGGACATAATAGATATAATGACATGAATACACTTGCTGAGTAACTACCCAATGATAGCACTCTATATATATTTTTAATTCAGATTTCACATATTCAGCAACTATTTACAATTAAAATATATTTTACTAAGCTGTTCCACATTTTTAAAAAAGAAATATTTTGGCAATCAGTTTAAATTTAACATCAATGTTGAGTTGTTTCATAATAGTTTTGATTTTAGTTGTAATTTAATTTACAATATTTTCAGGAAATAGCATTATTCAGGGATTTTAGTATATCAGAAACATTAACACATTTTGCATGGGTATTTGGTTTGAGCAAACAACAATTGAAGAAACGAAAAGAAGAACTATATAGCTTTTTAGAATTACCGCCAGAAACTAGTTTAATCAGTAAGTTAAGGTAAATATTCCAACTTTTATTTTATTTATATTATTATCTCTTTAAATATTTCATTTTATTTAATAAATTGGTAGCTATGAAAATTATTTTTGCATAAATATAAAAAAATCAAAACAAAAAATATATTTTTTATTTTTATATTATTTTTATTTTAAAGGCTCCTTAGCATGATTTTCCTTCCTTCTGAATTTCTATAATGATCCATTTTTATTAATTTCTGGAATTAGTTATTGTGAACTTAGGGGCCCTTCAAAACTTCTGAACCAAATGAAAAACATTCCTGCATTGATTTTTTGTTTTTGCTTAATCAAGAATTATATTTTATAAAAAACAATTTATCTATACGCGGCTATGTCATTATGCATAATTAGAACTATAATTTTTGAAATGATGTCTGTTATTTCATTAGATATTTTAAGGGAAAGAATATTTTTAACCTCTGCTTGCTTGAATTTTTGGAATATTTTATGTAAATACTTGATTTGTACAAATTAAAATTTATACTGAACCTTCTATAAGTTTTAGTGTATTCATTAAACATTTATAAATATTAAATTTTCATCTATTATACTCGAATCGAAATGCAGCGTCAACGTTTCTATCTAATTTGTCTCTATTATTACTAATTCCTCTTGCCACGTTGCTTATTTTCTACAAGCATGGAGTATAAAATTAAACTGTGAGATTTGAAGCAAAATAATAATTACAGCAACATAACAGAAGTATATATTTTATTTATTTTTACTGATCTATAATAATCTTTCCACTGATTACTAGCAATTCATGTGATCATAGAATTCCAATATCAGGGGAAGAGGTTAAGATCTATTAGATAAATACATTTCTTAAATTTATTAAATGCATTTATTTGTTCAGTGGAGGACAGCAGAGGAGAATATCACTATGTGTGGCTTTATTGCACAACCCAGAACTGCTGATATTAGATGAACCAACTGTCGGTGTTGATCCTGTTTTGAGTCACAGGTAACTTTCGATCAATTAATTATTTCTTTAATAGATTTTTTTCCATTTTATTTGCAAATTAGCATTCAAGTAAAATAAATTTCATTATTGGCAACACAATAGTTTTTAGTAATAAAGTTAATATTGTAAATATTTTATGTCTTTATTCTTTTTATTTTATCTAGCATTTGGCAACATTTAAAACAAATGTCTACTGTTGGAAATAAAACAATAATCATTACGACTCATTCAATTGAAGAAGCTAGACAAGCTGATCGGGTATGTAGCTGTTTAAATAATTAATTTTTTGAAGGTTAAATTAAACGGTAAATTATTTCCTTAAATATTTAATGATATTCATAATACAAATATATTTTAGTGTGAACAAGGCCTGTGCATTTTTTCCAATTAACCAGAACAAAACATAATATACCTTCCAACATATCTGAAGCACTTTCAGATGATGAAGAAAAGATACAAAAAGTATTTGAATTTACAAAAGACATTAAATTTGTACTCCTAATTTGATTACATTTAAGCCGCTAATGACCCAATCGGGTAGATGCGGAATGTAACAATAAATAAATAAAATAAAAAACTGCCAATCTACACCAGAGGTCTCCAACATTTTATTACTTGAAAGCACATTTATACATTAATGGTAAAGCAGCAGACATCAATCTGTTTGTTTTTCATTTCTTGATATTGTTAATAATAAAAAAATAATTATGTATTAATTAAAGTTAAAATGTATATAAGATAATAATTTCTTTATAAAAAAAATAAAATATAAAGCTAATGTGATATTTGGAAGTCATTTTGTTTATCAGTGCTTCATAATTTGGTGAATACAAATATAATATGATAATTTAAAACAATAAATATGTGCATATCACTTTTGGTTCTTAAAAAAAAAATGGAGGGGAAATAATGATGAAGATTGATGGAGAAACATTATTAAAATGCAATGATATCAATAAATGACTATTTTTGAATACTTAATAGTTGATCGTTGTATTATTAAGGAAGGAGATGGTCTGGAGAGGTGGCCATAAATAGACTAAACAGTGGCAAAACTATTTTATTAAAAGCCAATGTTTCGACCTGACTTTTCAGGTCTTCTTCAGGGCTAGAACAGACAAAATACAAAAAGATATAGAGAATTGTGGAAGTTACATCATATTTAGATAAAAAATTATAAGCAATGTTTTTAAAAATTTTGGAGGACTATCTAATATGTCAATGCAGAAAATAAATTCAAGAAAATGTACTTTTCAGATTGTTGGTTTTGAAACTGAATACCTCAAATAAAGAAGGAAAAACATCAAGGAATCTAAGGAGTTCTCAGAAATTCCAAAATGATTTTTCTTTTTTTTTTTATTTAGTATATCATTATCAAATGAACTATTGTATCAGTATTGATTGTGGAGAGATTAATGAGGTGAAAATTGTAGACTTTAATAATAATATATTCTACCCAATCATAGATATTAAGTGCTATCTTGTAATGTTTAATATGTATGCTTGATAAGAGACAATGTTTGTCTTAATGCTGAAGATTTTAGTAATAACTTGTCCAAAATCAGAGGAAATCTGAATCTAGATCTTTCGCATATAATTCTTACTTATCTTACTAAAATTAATTAGCGAGATAAAAAAAATGATGTTATGTAATACCTTCCAAAGTATTCTTTCTGAGTTCATTTATTCCACTTGTCTCAGCCTTCCGAATTGCATGCGAATGACAAAACACGTTAGCTGTTTCGACAGCATGAAAGTCTTGATCATTTCATATCCATCATTAATTTTAAATCTGCAATGACAATTTCCGAAATTCTGAGGAGTAAGAATCATGAATAATATTTAATCTAGGAATCTTATAATAACTAATTGTTTTATTTTTAAGGTTGGTTTGATGAGAGGAGGAATTTTATTAGCAGAAGGGGACCCTAAATCACTGATGAATCAATACGGCTTTGACACTTTAGAGGAAGTATTTTTACAATTAAGTTACAAACAGGAAACAGGAGAAAATTTCGACATCGATTGCCAAGTAGTTAATTATATTATTCTATAACTTTCTAATTATCTATATCTATGCTTTTCTAATTAATTTTTTAATACATCAATCTAAGGTTAAGACCAATCATTACTATGAATTAAGCATAAAGTTTATTTTATGGAATAAGAAAGTTTACACAAAAGTACTGGGAAGTATCAAAATATGAAACTATTTGGTTATTTCTCAAAATTCTTCCAAATTTTGAATATTTATTATTATATTTTGCATCCAAAATTTTTAAAATACAATCAAACATAACAAGCACATCCTTGAGAAATTGTGATTACTTGATGTCTTGTTCACCCGAATACCAAAAATATTTTAAATCTTATTTGATTTATTGGTTTTTTGTTGCAGACTGTCAAGAATTATCCAAAACCAGAAAAAAAGCCCAAACCACCAGTAAAAATAAAAAGCATTTTTGCATTAAATCACCTCATCGCTCACTTCTTAAAAAATTATTTTTTCTTAAGAAGAAACTTAGGGTAAGTCTTCTTTTTGACTCTCATTGTTGTTAGTGATATCTGTAGTATATCTTTTTTTAAAAAACTTATACAAATTTTATTTTTCAGGATATTGGCCTTTCTTTTATGTCTCCCCATCGTTCAATGTACACTCTTTGATCTTTCAATAGGGCGCGATCCACTTGGGCTAAAAGTTGGACTCGTCAATGAAGAACTGGCAGGTGAAGGAGACTGTAGTATGTTTACTAATGCAAATTGTTCAGTGGAATATCCAGCATCTTGTCGCTATATGGCTGCTTTAGAAAAAAAACAAATGAAGCTTGTAAGCCCAATATAAGCAATTATTAATTAATTATAAGAAAATAGATATATTTTTTTATGTCTAATTACTAACATTAAATGCATGCTTTGCATAAATTATTTGATAGCATATAGTTTAGTATAGTAGACATCTGCCGGCATTTACTCCTTTATGTGATATTGTGTGAGGAAATGAGAAGGAATATATAATATATAGGAATATGAGGTTGCACTGTAAATTGTACTCAATTATGCAGTGGACAAATTATTCATGGAAAAGTCTCATATTGACAAACAATCGATGAAGAAGGATGCTGGAAAAAGGTCAGAGCAGGTAGCTAGCAACAGCTGGCAGAAGTACGGCGAGAAGATCGCTTGAGGCTTGGACACGAAGACGAATAGACGTCATCTGAGAAGAGAGGCTTACTACATTGAAGAATAAGAATATCAAGCCGACAGTTATAAGACTTTTATACATTCATTTATTACAGTTATAAAATAAATTGTTTTATTATACAGGAGTGAAAAGTCATTTTATTTAGTTGTCCTATATGCCTCACAATTGAAGAATAACAAAGCAGGTGAGTCAATTCATTCAAAGTGTATTTACTATGTCCCACATTTCATATACATATATTCTTATTGTTTCTTGTCATCCAGTCTCAAAAAAGGTATTAGATTACCGAATTCCCAACAACAGTTAAACACCTTCAAAAGTCTATATCCAGTGCCGCGGTTTTGTTTTAATAATCAGGAGTGTAAATAACCTAGTTCCCCGATAAAACAGAAGACTATTCGCAATTCCCGCCAAAAAATAATATTTACATTTAACTTTAACAGGTTATTTACATTAGTGTTTTGTTGAAATAATAATAATAATGGTGAAAACATTTATTTATTTTTCTTTGTTGTTATTCATAAGTTAAAGTTCAAGTTCTAATAATTAATTAATGATAACATAACTATGCTATACTTTAAAAAGCTGCAAACAAACTATTTTAAAATGTGGTTAAAAACTGGAGAAACTCCTGGTACAACTATAGTGGGTGCCTTTTCTTGAGAGGCAAACTGTTGAATGTTGTGATTCTGTAGCAGGGTATTAAAATAAAATTACTCAATTCTACCCCTTCAAAGTGTTAACAACTAAGTTGAGATTCAATCTTTGGATCTTCAAGAAATTAATTTCAAAATTCAAGAGGATGAAGAAAGTGTGGAGGAAGATATTAAAAGCAACAAGAAAGTAAAAGACTAATATAAGTAATATTTCTGTGGTCCAGAGTTAGCCTGTATCGAGAATAAAAAATAAAAATGTTCTAAATTACTTTTTTCTCTTTGTGTTTTATGTTATATTTGTTTATAATTTTAATAATGGCTTGAATAATGTTACACTGAACCATTACCAGAAAGTATTGTTACTTTCTCAAAATTCCAGAAAATATTGACAGAAATTCTCGTTCGTTGAAATATTACTTCTTTTTTTTACTTTTACTTTCCTATATATGAAATATTGTGATTGTGAAAATTTTCGAATCTGAGTTTTTAACGGAAATACATGTTTTGAGGTCTCCTGAGTCAAAATAACTAAGTTCCGCAAAATGGTCCGTGTGTGCATGTGTCTGTATGAATGTGACAGGTCTAGCTCAAAAACGAAAAGTCGTATGAAAGTGAAATTGCATATTTAAGGTTTGTATATACCTGAGATATTATAGCAACTTTTTTGTTAAAATCACCTAACAGGACTTAAATGTCTAATTTTCAATATTACCTTTCTCTAAAATACCTTTAATTTTTTTATTTGAAACAAATGACCATTTCACATTGATCTCTAATAAAAAAAATAGTTAAATGTAAAATATAAAAGAATTTGATAATTAACTAAAGGAGAAATATGAGATCGCAACAGAGAATAGTTGAAATGAAGGAACCAAAGGGATAGGAGCATGGCCCTGAAGATTAAAACACGCTTCCATGTGTGACATTAGCTTAATGTAATACGGACTCTGACAATATTATATAAATATGCATATGTGGTTTTCATAAACGCTATTGTTGGTATTATTTGATATTTAATTGTATAGGTTACAGCGATATAAATATTAAAATTTGTATATATGAGGGTACTTTTACAAACAAAAATACCCACAATGACATATAAATAAATATAGCATCTATAATTTTTACTAAGACTTCCCCTTTGTGTGAAAATACTTATTTCTGTTAAGAGGGTGGTAAGTGAAAGTTGTGTGATGCATGCACCGCACCAATTTTTTTAATTCAAAATCACCTACTTATTTCAGATCTTATATAAAGATGAGGAAAGTGCTCGAAATGCTACGAAGAAAAATGAAATATGGGGCTTTATGCATGTTTCGCATAATTATACAGAGTCATTATTTGAAAGAATAATACTCAATGGAGGAGCGAGTGATGAAGCATTAGCTAACAGCGAAGTTGATGTCTCAATGGATATGTCAAGTAGTCAACTTTATATTATTGAAATACAATATTTTATTACACGATTTTGTATTATATTAAAACAGTTTATTTATTAAAATGAATACCTTATTGTTTTCTAAAAATTAATAAATATATATATTTTTTAAATTTTAGATCAGTATATTGGGAATTTATTAAGAAGAGATATGTACTTTGCATACATGGAATATTTGGAAAATCTATATGCAGACTGCAATTGGCCAGTCCAGGCAGCGAAAGTACCAATTGCAGTAAGATAATCCAAGAAAAATTACATATTGCTTAATTTTCTTTAAATAAAGTACAAATTTGAAAAACAATAATAATATTTTGTTTCAGTTTCAAAAAGCTATATATGGAAATATTTATCCTAGTTTTTCTGATTTTGCTGTGCCTGCAATATTACAGTTGTATGTATAGATAAAAAAGTTTTAATATTTGAATACAATTGATAAATTAATGCAATAAGCAAAAACACACAATATCAGATACAAAATTAAGTAACCGATTATAATCAACAGAGGAGCAAAACAATGCATAATAGAGGGGGAAATGATAGATTAATGTAATAGACTAATTTCACTTTTTCTTTGGATGCATTTTCTCCTAAATTTTGAACATTATGAGATCTTAATGAGATTTTAATAATTTCGTCTTTTTTTTATTTATCTCACTCTTATTTTGTAATTTTCATTAATTCATTCAGCCCCTGTCCAATTATTTATCAATTAATTATAGTCTATTGAACCTAATTTCAATGATGTTGGGCAGTTAATGTTTATAATGAAGTTAAATAAAAGTAATAATTAATTAATTAAAATTTGAACAGGTTTGTGTTTTATTTACCAATGATGTTTACTGTTGGAGGTATTTTAATGGAAAAACGGGAAGGTATTCTTGAAAGGAATTTGATATCAGGTGAGGGTAATTTTATTATTGAAGTATGGAAAATTATTTTATTTCTCTTTGTCTTCATTAAAAAAGATTTGTATTTTAGGAATGACACTAGTTGAAATAATTACAGGGCATGCTATTGTTTCAATGTTAATACTCGTCGTACAGACTCTATTTATGATGATAGTTCTTTTTGTAATATTCGACAATACCATTGAAGGAAGTCTATTATTAGCATTGTCACTTCTTTTCTTGGTTGGCTTAAGTGGAATGTGTTACGGTAAGTTCTAGAAATAATAGAGTATGATTGCTTATTATAAAAATAGTTGTATAGGTTCTTAGATAATAAAGTAGTTGTTACTTCTATTAAAATAAAATTATCATTGTGTTGAATTATTAATGGCTAAGTACTATTGATCTCAGTAGTCCAACTATAATCATAATGACAACGGATTTGATTCCTTTATCTCTCCCTAAATATTTTGTTCCATGAGTTTATATTTTCATATTAAGCTCACAGTCTTTACAAGATACAAAACAATTTTTTTTATAAACTTCATAGTTAAATCACACATATAATTATATGTAATTTATGTCCTTCTCATTAAACATCTGAGAAACTTTTTAATAAACAGTCAAAAGAGGATTTGTTGAACTGAAACCCACAGGCATGGTTGATAATGTCATTTTCTCCAACTATCATCAGAGAAAACATCTTTTAGTGATATTTTATAATGTTTTTACTATCTTTTCCATTTAAAAAGCTTTATTTGTACTCTCCTTGTATTGCACAGTTCATTAATTGAGCTGTTTTCTATACTTAAAATTTTTTATGAATATAATTTCACTCGAATTTTACCACTCCTCAAAAATGCCTAGTTTTCCTGGGCATAAATCCTCTATTGTGTGTTGTGTGTAATATGAGCATTGTAAATTAGGAATACAAAATGAAAGGTACTTTTTATTCATAATTCCTTTCAGTGTTACTTTTACTATTACTTTAAATTTCTATTAAATTTAATATTTTTTTCTTAATTCTTATCAATTATTTTTGGATAGATAATTTAACACGCATTAAAACATTTTTTTTTTTACTTTCACTTACATATATACGAAATATATAGTAAAGGAAAGTATTGCGATCGTGAAAATTTTTGAATTTCAGTTTTCTACAGAAATACACATTTTGAGGTCCTCTGAGTCCAAATAATCAAGTCCTGCAAAATGGTCTGTGTGTGTATGTGAGTGTGTGCGTTGTGTGTGTGTGTGGGTGTGTTAACAGTCTAGCTCAAAAACGAAAAGTCATACGGAAATGAAATTTCATATTTACGGTTTTTATATGCTAGGGTTGTTACAGAAACTTTTTCAGTAAAATCGGCTTACTGGAAGTGGCACTTTATATAATAGACTAAATACATTTTGATGATTATCATGAAAACGGCTTTAATGATTTTGATTAAATTCAGTATATCAGTGTAAAATCAAGCAGTTTTAAATAAAACAGTTTTTATTCTAATTTATGTTCTCTAACAGGACTTAAATGTCTAATTTTCAATATTACCTTTCTCTAAAGTACCTTTAATTTTTTTTATTTGAAACAATTGACCATTTCACATTCATCTATAATATAAAAAATAGTTATATATAAAATATGAAAGAATTTGATAATTGACTAAAGGAGAAATAAGAGATCGTAACAGAGAATAGTTGTAACTGAGGATACAAATATTATATAAATATACATATGTGATTTTCATAAATGCTATTGTTGGTGTTATTTAATATTTAACTTTATAGATTACAGAGATATAAATATTAAAATTTCTATATATGAGGGTAATTTTACAAATAAAAATACCCACAATGACATATAAATAAATATAGCATCTATAATTTTTACTTTCACTTTCCCTTTGTCTGAAAATACTTATTTCTGCTAAGAAGAGGGTGGTAAGTGAAAGTGCGCGAACCGTATCAGATTTTTTTATAAATGTACAGAAAGCAATGCTGAGCAGTGGAGAAGCTCAGTAAGTAAACACTGATTTCCAAAGCTCAAAGTCCTATGTTTTTGTCCGGCTTATAACAACTAATTTTTCATCAACCGTGGATCAATCCTAGAGTTGGGAAAACCTCCTGGGGCATACCCAGCCTCTATAAAGTGGGTACTCTTAATTATATAATTAATGGGATAAAACCTGGCGGTTGAACATCATCCTGGCCCCATCGTCTCCCTGCACAATTGTTGGCCTTTAAACAGTATTCCTTACAAAGTACTGAACCCTGAACATGGATTAAATCATGGTACAGGTTTTTTTTTTATAAAAGTTCTTTCTTGAAAATTAATGTTTAAATAAATAAATATATTATAGAAAATTCAAAAGATATAAATATTATTGAATAAAAATATTTTTTATTTAACAACTTATATGGGTAATAAAATCCATGATAACATCAATATTTCTGAGTATTATACTATTACCTTATTAAGAACCTAAAGTTGTCTCTGTAGTCCCCCAACTTCCATCTATCAGACATGAAAAATAGGTTACACAAAAGGAAGAGTGTCACAAAACTGACTCATGTTAGATTTTTTTCAGAGGAAAACTATGTATTCCAAGAAACTATGATTGCAAATAACTCAGTACTCTCCAAAAGATTATCTTGACAATTGACCCACTTGGGGCAGAGACATAAAATACAAGACCATCTAAGGACCAAACTGTCAAATTTCTAATCTGTTAGATTAAAAAGAAACAAACAACTTATTTACTTGACTATGTGTACTTACGGAGCAGAACTTAAAAATCAACAAAATACGTAGACATATACAAAATACAAACACCGTGGTTAAAAACCCTGAGAAAAGAAGGTAAATTAACTATGATTTCAACAATGGTATACGCTTTTATTTATATATTTTTAACAATTTTACTGACTTATAAATAAAAAATAAAACCAATGTTACAAAACATTTTTCAATCCATTATGTTTTTCTAATAAAGTTTGCAAAATATAAAGCAATGTTTTTTTTTTTTACAGGCTGCCTAGTATCCGTATTATGCGATACTGATACAGCTGCTACTTATATGGGCCTTGGCAGCTTTTTTCCCTTGGCGATGTTAAGTGGTAAGTTTTCACACTTGAAATGTCCAATTTTTTAAATCTTAAAGTTTAGAAAGAACTATAACATTACCTGTTGATTCTCAACAAAAAGTTTACCATCCATAATGAACTCTTGCTAATTCTCTATTTACTAACAGGGTTTGTTTAATTACCAGGTAGGCATACAGATTTTAGTTTCATTTCAAACGAAATATTTTAATGGATTTTAACTTGGTTGGTCCGCTGTCCAGGTAGAAAAAATTGGCCAAGCTTTTGGTGAAGGGAGTTCTAATGAAAGAACCATTCGTTATGGGTTTTGTAAATTTTCTTGAGGAGATACAACATAAGAGAATCTACCCAATGGAGAGCCTCCAACATCAATCGAGGACGAAGATTTTAAGGAAACTTTGGAAGAAATTCATCATAAAACATAACTTGTGACAGACTTCGGCACAAGTCAAATGATAGTTTCCACACAAGCTGAACAAATGTCAGCAGTTGAAACGTCAATATATTTATGTATCTTTGCTTTCATGTTAATGAAATGAACTATTTCTTGGGAGGGCAAAAAATCATAACGAAAAATGGATTATATATGACAGTCAACGTCAATCAGATCAATGGTTAGATGCCAATCAGCCACTTGGACCATGCCATAACAGAATCTTTCCGAAAATTAATGTGATTTTCTTGCAAATTATTCCAATGAAAACAGCTCAACTTATACTAAGTCAAACTTTTTTGATACCTGTGTGGAGTTAGGCTGGTCTTCCATTGGGTGCCTCCTCAGGTGGCGGATTGAGGAAAGTTCATCAGATATGGTGGGTACTGGGGAAATTAAATACTGAGGACAGGCCAAAACCAGCCAGGGGGGTCTCCAAGCCGTGGTGAATGCAATCTCTCTAGGGCATGAGAAACCTGAAATAAAATCTCCTGTCCCTCCAGCTTGGTGGTTGGGCGTTGGGCTAGTAAATCAACCCCGAAAAAATTCAAACCTAATGTGAATCCTGAACAAAGAAAAGCACGACTGGTCTCAGGATTACGATATAACGCCCATTTAAAGGACATTCAATTAGGATCTTGGAATGTGTTGTCACTTAATTGAGGTGAAGCATTACAGCTACTCTTAAATCAACTGGACACCTATAGGATTGATATAGCTGCAATTCAGGAGATCTGGTGGCTTGAAAACGGAATATTATAGCTACAATAAAAGGTATCACACTTTTGGAACAGGTTTTGTTGTGGGTGAAAGGACGTCTAAGCTTTGAACCTATCAATCCCAGATTGTGCTATCTAAGACTAAGAGGCAAATTCTACAATTACAGTCTTCTGAGTGTATTGCCATTCAAACACGATATGCTGACACTATGCACAAGAAATTTCGTCAGATTATATTGGTAGAGAATGTGAATCAAGATTGGGAGGTTTTTAAATCCACAATGAGGGAGGTGACTTGTGAAGTACTCGGATTTGAAACCCCTACAACCAAGCATCGGTGATTTAATGAGGAATGCCAGGCAGTTACCGATGCATATTGTCTCATGATTCAGAGAAGGAACGCCCGGAGTTCTGCTGAGGAATATAGGAGCAAAAGACGCCAGGAGAAATACCTACATCAGAGAAAGAAGAGAAAATGGGAAGCGGACCAGTTGGTGAATCTGGAGGATCTAAGAAGAAACCACTGAGGTGCACAGGTTCTACTAGAGAGTGAATGCCAGTAGAAAACAACTCAAATAACAAGGCACATGGAGCTGATGGGCTGCCATCAGAATTGTTTAGTTTTGGAGGGTAAGAGGCAGTGAAAGCTCTTCACATTATTATGGATGTGAGGATGAGTGAGGAAATTCCTGCGAACTGGTATAAGACCATCATCTGCCCAATTCACAAGAAAGGGGACATTCTGGATTGTAGAAATTACCGGGGCATGTCACAGCTGTCCAGTACTTACAAGATGCTGTTCAGAATTTTGTTCCTCAGGCTACGGCCCCATGCAGAGAGAGATTGGCAAATATCAGGCTGGCTTTATGAGAAGAAAGGGCACAACAGACCAAATGTTTTCGCTTAGGCTGATGCTCGAATGAATCCAAGAATATCATATCCAAATCCATCTCCTATTTATAGATTTTCGGGCTGCCTACGATAGTGTAATAAGGGACAAACTCTACAAAGCTATACTTGATATGGAAGTTCCACCCAAGCTTGTGAGACTCATCAGAAAGACAAAAGTAAATTATTGTCTCGCACAACTAAATTGTGTTTGTACAAAGTCCTGATTAGGCTAGTGCTTATATATGGATCTGAGTGCTGGACTTTATCCAAAGCCCACAAAAATCAACTCCTTTGATTTGAAAGAAAGGTATTAGGAAGAATTTTCGGAGCAACTTTTTATGCCCATGAGCTAGCCTGGGAGATTAGGGAAACGGCGAAATATCTGAGCTGTACAAGGACTGCAACGTAGTGCACTACATCAGGGTTTGCTAGCTCAGGTGGGCTGGGCATGTGGCCAGGATGAATACTGACTCAATACCAAAGAGGCTTCTCGAAGAAGAAATTCACACCACCAGAAGGCGTGGACGGCCCAGGCTGCGATGGGTGGATGGTGTGAATAAGGATGCACAAACCATTCTGGAGATCCGGGACTGGAGAGTGGCTGCTCGGATTCTATTTCTAATACTATTTTAGATATTTATATTCTAATAAAGACACACTATTTCAAAGACACACACCCATGTATATTGGGTATCCCGTAATTAGAGGGAAATTTTTATAGCAGTGACAGTAGACCTCAAGATCTATAAAAAAATTTCATATAAACAATGGGCGAATTTCGAGCAGAAAAGTAGAAAATTCAAGATTTGAGTTTTAAGTGAATCACGTTTTTTTTTGTTAAATAAAAAGTGATAATTAACTGTTTTTAAAACTGTCATAAATTATTCACATTTTTTCTCATAAAAGTGAGGTTCCCACTTTTACAAAAACTTTTTCGTTTAATAAAGTTTAAGTCTACATTAATTAAGTTGAGGTTTATTGTGCAAAAATTTGAGATTCACCTCGAGTTGTATAAAGAAATTATGTGATTATTAAACCAGCCACCTAAATGTACCCTTGTTTCCAGCAAAAACCACATGCGGCCTCCTAAATTGTTTAAGGATTTCCTAACCATCAATCAATACACTATTTAAAATTATTGTTCTCTCAACTAAAATTGTATAAAATCAAAAATTATCATTAATATAACCTATTTTTTCAAACTCTTATTTAAAATGTTTTTCAAATTTCTAAATTATATTTTGATAACTATTACATTAATCTGACACATTATTAATACTTTCACGATTGCATAACATAGATATCATTTATTTCTTTTTGTTGCAGGAATGTTTTGGCCCTACCAAGGTATGCATTACCTTCTTCGTTCAATCGGATGGTTCCTCCCATTAACACTAACAACTGAAGGCTTCCGAGCAATATCATCAAGATCTTGGAGCATTACTCATCCTGTTGTATTCAATGGCTTTCTTTCAGTAATTGGATGGATATTTTTCTTTTCTATTAGTACAATTGTTGTAATCAAAATAAAAAAAGGAATTCGTAATATCATGTAGGTTCTCAAACAATGTAAAAGATTATTTTTGTAAATATAATGTAAATAACAATTTTTCCATTAAAAAAAAAAAAAAAAAATGTTCCTATACTTAATATACCATTATTGAGTTATTTATAATTGACAAATTTTGAAATTAAACCGTGATATAAATGAAAAATATTCTAAGATATAATAAAGGCAAACAATAATTGACATATATTATATGGTACAATATTGCAATAATTTTATATCAGTATCTTGAACTGTGATTGAAGAAGCCTTTCTAATCGAAAATATATATAATATATTTTCTAATGTAAAGTTTAGTTAAAAGTTCTTGAAATATGTTTTATTTTTATAATTCTTGCCAAATAATTGTATACCTGATTTTAGGGGATTGTAGGCATCCCTACAGATAACTTTAACTGTAAATATATAAATATGTAAAAAGACTGTAAAATATAATAAACAATAGAAGTATTGATATATTCTGTTCAGGGTGTGATATATTCTGTCAAACTGTTTATGAGTTGCTAATTTGATCTATGAATAATTTCTAGTCTATAATACACATTTCATGAAACTACACAATTGCAATGTACAAGTTTTAAGTAATTTTAAACAAATCATTACAATATATTATGAAATGAATTCTATTCTATAAATGTTCTCAAAATCAAATAAACTTTGCAGCTAGAGTAATGTTAATTATGATTTTAATTACTTTTATTAGATAAATAAATGTATAACAACATTATAACAAATACGTTTTCCCAAAAAAATCTATTCTGTACACTTGTTTGTGAATGGCATGCCAGTTTCTAGTCAATAGTAAGATAGGTTTAAATGGGTTAAGAATTTCCTAACCATGAATCAATTCACTATTTAAAATTATTGTTCTCTCAACTAAAATTGTGTAACATCAACAACTACATTTTATCAGTTTAGTATTCCATGTACTCCATCTAAAAAATGTATGTAATATTTATCAAAGTATATAATTATATTTTTACTATGTTTTATTATTTATTTTTATGTGACAATAAAAATTTCTGAAAAAAAAAAAAAATCATCGAAATTGGACCTATATTTCTAGACTGTAGCCCCAAATCAGCTCTAATGATTAGGCACATCTCCCAGAAAAACCAGGAATTATTTTTGGTTAGTCCAATTACACGACATTTCTAATGTTTTTGGTTCAAATTCAAATTCAGAATCACCGCTAATACTGGTCCAATAAGATTTTTTTTGTTATTTTACTCTTATTTTTTGTTAATATTCTTTAGGTGTACTCAATTAGATAATTAAAGTACCCTTATCCTTGTAATTATAGAATGCGTACTGAAAAATTTTTGAATCTGGGTGGAATAATATCAGTGATTTGTTATGCTGATGATTTGGTACCATTAAGAAAAGACGTGGAAGCAATAAAATTAAATATGACAACGTTGATGAAAGCCAGTTTAGAACTGGCACTCAAAATCAATGCAGAAGAGATACATGATTATCTACTAAACCGGCGACCATCTTAGTGAAATCGATAAAGAAGCGGATGTCTTTGAACACTTTAGGTATCTAGGGGGTACTATAACTAGGAAAAATGAAATTGAAGAGGAAATGAAATTAAGGTTAGGTTGAAGGCAGCAAATACTTGTTAATATTCTGTGACAAACCTGCTTAGCTTGCGCCTCCTGTATTCAAACTTAAAAATTAGAATTTACAAAACCATAATCCTACCTACAGTTCTTTATGTATACAAAACATTACTGCTTACATTAAGGATTGAGAAACATCTTAAAGTTTTTGAAAATAAGCGGAATAAGGGAAGCCTTTGAGCAGAGAGAATTGGATTGGATGAGAATAAAACAATTGGTACAAGATAGAGATGTGTGGATCATGCTCTATCAACCGAGAAAAAGAAAATTGATTCCTCCATTCCACTATATACTTATTTGCATATTATATATTACACTGACTACTATATTATGTAAATTATTCGCACAGGCCAACTAGATACATATAATGTATATATGTTTGCACTTTTTTAGTATTTATCAGGTACTTATGAAACAAAAAACAAAAAATAGATAAGTTTATTTTATTTAGTAAATATTTCAAAAATTACTTTTCACTTAAACACGTTTCATTAGTGTTTCCATCAGAATTGGGTTTTATATTTAATTCTAATTGTTTTGCACTGCATAAAGGCATGTCTAAGCTTTCTGTCTCATCAAATTTTGAATAGTCGACAACAAAACCAGAAGAATCACTGTAACATAAAGTAAGAATAAAATTAATGAAATAGACCCGATCTTTCAATTAGAAACACATTAACTTAATAGCATAAAGTCTCCAATGCTTAAAATTTACTCATTGATTAACCTTTATATTGTTAAAGATAGTTGTTACTTTAAAAGCTAACATTACATACAAATGAGTAACTAACAAGAAAATAATTTTTTTATAGTTCTATCACTAATAACTACTTTTATATGCTTTAAAATATTTACACTAATTGATTTAAATTGAAATTCCATTTCCAAACCTTTCAAGGATGGTTCTGAACCGATGCCCCCAAAGAATGTCACATGGCGTGTAAGAACACCTTACTTCAGTTTGTTGTCCAGTCGTTTCTGCGGTACACACAAGACTGACTACTATTTCAATGTCAGACTTCATCAGGTCTAACGGCGACAGTTCAAAAAGAGGACTAGAAATGTCTATCTTGTGGACCACAGTCACTGGCCACAGTAGGAATATTGAATCCCTTAAAGCAAAATAAATAAAATGGGACATTGCTGCTATTAGCCGACTGTTAAGGAGTTAATGTAAGATATAAAATATAATAAGGATAAAAACTTAAATTTACTAAAAAAAACAAAACATTCACTACTCCAAAACTAATCTATTAATAATAGAAGAACACAAATTAATAATAGAATGATGGCTCCTAGAGCATTTTTATTCCATAGCCAAAAAAAGATTTATGAAATCAAAATTTCATTGTTTATTCAAAATTTTTAAATTAAGAAAATAAAGTTAAATCTATTGGGTATATTAATTCAATGTAGTTTTGTTATACTTTCAAGAGTTGTTCTTAAGCATATAATTACCCAGCATCGTCTGCTGACACTTTAAGCTTTGTCAAGTAGTTTGGCAGAAATTCGCCCTCCTTAGTAACTTTGGTCTGTATAAGCCAAGCTTTTATTTTACAATCGCTCACATATGATTTATTTTCATCTCCTAATCTGAACATGAAACAAAGTTTTCCTTCTCTCAAACAAATAACAGCTTTCTTACTGTGAAAACAAAATAAAAATAATGTTGAAAATTCAACTATTGCATTTTATTATTTTAATAAGTTACTTAGTATATATTTATTAAATACTCAACCATCAAACTAAAAATTTTTTAATTCGAAAATATCTAATTTCATGATCTTACTAAATTTAAAATGAATCAGGCAATCATAGGAGACAATTTTCTTTGTTGCATAGAACAAAAGAATAAGGTCATTAAGAAAAAATTTAAAGAACAAACAAATTTTTAAAAAAGTTGAAATATAATATATGAAAAAATAAACAAGTCTTTGTTTTTTTTTATGCTGATATATTTATGATCAGATTAGAAAGATAAACAATGGCGGATAAATTTAAACTGTAAAGATGTTTGTTTTAATCAGATCATTATTATTCAAATATTTTCTCTTAAAACTAAACAAAACATTAAGGAAAGATTTTTCTAGGAAATATCTCAATGAGGTCACCATTATTAAAAGCATGGTTATCAATCCTAACATCATGATCATTGTATTACTATACTATTTTAAATTCCTGAAAGATTAAAAAATGTTTAAATTTGTACTTCAGTTTTTATTTTGACATTAAAAACTATTTTCTTTTTTCTTAATGTTGATCAATTAAAACAAATGGTACTAAAAAATAAAGAGTACCAATAAATAAATATAGGTACATAAAGAGGTACATACAAGAGGTAAAAAAAGGTACATAAAAGTACCAAGGGTTCCAATAAATAAATGGATGGTAAGGCCCAAGTTGTGCCACCAAAAGTTTTGAATGAGGCACATTTTTATGGAGTTTTGAGTTTTTATGATGAGCACATTTGACTGGGTTATGAATTTGAAAGAACTTTCAAATGAGCATACAAGCACAAAAGACGGAACACATCACAGCAAGTGTAATTGCATATAAACTACAATTTCTATAATTCTACTTTTTATAGCTTGCACCGCTTTTAAGAAGAGGAGAGCTATGAAATTTCTATGGTGGATGCTCCATCGACCTTGGAGGGAGGATGAGATGGGCCCTACTGAAGAGTACTGTAAGGAAATTCTGTTGAATTTCGACCAAGATTCATGCAAGTGATGTTCAAACAACAAATTTTTCTTTGTCCTATTGTTGGATGTTTGCCTGCTTTATAGGAACTGGGCAGAGTGTATCACAAAGTCAATCCAAATCTAATTGGAAATGACCAGGCTTGTACATGGGCTGGGAATTCAATAATTAACTGCTCGGATCTCGCTGAACACAATGTACATAGAATAAGTTAAAAAAAAAAAGTCAATAACTGCTAAACATATTTATTAACTTCATATTTACCTATACGAAATGGCATGTCCTCTATTTTTTGGTCGAGCCAGCTTGGCAAACACAGCACCAACCATTACACTTTGTAAAAGAACTCCAAAAATACTTTGAACAGACAGGAGAAAAATTGCTTCGGGACATTCTGTTGTTGGAGCTCTGGTGCCATACCCAGTTGTATACTGTGTTTCCAAAGAAAAAAGAAAGGCAGAAATGAAATCAGGCATCATCGTGATACAAGGCTCTCTGAAATTGATTATTTGAACTTAATGAGTATTGCTAAGACTGAGTAAAAAGTGGTTTGAACATCTAAATCAAAACGGGTTATAAACAAGAACATTATACTGACCTTGAAATAAAACCCTTTATTCAAAATTAAAGTTATAATGTAGAAAAAAGTTTTAAAAAATATTGAAAATGATACACATACATATACTTACATTTCAGTTTTTGCATATGGACTAACAGCTAGGTCTCCATGAGCGTATGCAATTATCCACCAAAATATTCCAAATAGGAACCAGGAAACAACAAAACTGAATGTATAAACTAATATCATATTTCTCCATCTTATTTCAACAAGATAAGTAAAAGGATCCTTAAAATAATTTAATAAACTTGACAATTTTGAATTTCTCGATCTTCTTGGCAATGCACAGTGTCCAGATTTACGGACGGAACGTCTGAACCTACTAAACAACAATGTTGGTATTGGATATAATATAGAGGATAGTAATTAATTAGTATTAATAATGGTAATTATACTACAATATCTTATTAGATATTGTACCATGAATTTATAAAATCAATTGATCTCAAAAGTAAAAGTGAAGAATGAAAATAATTTTAATATTAAACTACTATCTTCAATTCTTAAATTAAAATCTATATATACATATACATTTCAGTTCGTGTAATAGACATACATTTCTATACCCTTTTATACTCTTAAATTAATATGCTTATTATTAATCAAAACTTTTGGGTTCGATGCCATCAGTTCAAAACAAAGAAAAATCAAGGAGTTCCAATAAAAAATAACTTCAAGGACGATAAGGAGGGTGTCAAGGTATAACCATTGTGCACGAATAATTTAAGTAGGCCAAAGCTAATCTGGCTGCTATAATATATTTTTATTGAGAAAAAAATTGTATTCTAATTCAAAGTAATTTTAATAAGAGAAAGTTACAGATAATGATTCCTTAAGTTTGAACCAAATTTGTCGAGCACATATGCTCCACTCATTTATTTCATTTTAGAAAATCTATCTTCATTTACAAAACTTTGTTTTTTTAAAATGTATTTATTGAAATTTGCAACTTTATTACATGACAAATACAATAAGTAAATCTGAAACAGTGACATGACATATACAACATGAAGAGAAACTACCCATTGGTAGGATTCCAATTATAGTATTAGAAGGTCCTGAGGTCATATTCTTTTCAGACACCTCAGAGGATTATCAGGAATAGAAGAGGAATCTATATTAGAAACAAGAAAGTTCATACAGTTCAGAAGTTTATTATGGAAGGACATGTATGTGGAATGAGCTAAATCAGAAACATATGGTACATAAAGGTCGTTATGGATGATTTTATTTGTGACAAAGTAAGGTGCATTGAGGATTTTATGATGGATTTCGGAATGTAAGGATTGGATACGAGAGGAATTTAATGGTTTAGTAAAGCCCCAAAGCTCGATACCATACGTCCAGATAGGTCTTATTATAGTAATATATTTGAGTCTTTTGTAAATAATTGTTGTTTAGATCGTTTCTCTAGTAAGTGCTGTAGTAGTCGGAAACGTCGAGCAGTTTCTAGTCATTTCAGTCTGGTATGAGGATTCCAAGTGAGTCGTTTGTCCAGGTAGAGCCCTAGGTAACGAATTTGTTCAACAGCGATAAGTGGGGTCATGTTAAAGGTAGGACAGGAAGTTATAGGTTTACAAGAAGTTATAGGTAAAGGTAAAGGTAATTTGATGGGATTTATTGGAATTGATTTTAATCCTCCAGTTTTGACACCATTATTCAAGACTTGTGATATGTGATTGAAGAGTCTGATATACAATTTATGGGTCGTTATTAACTGATAGGATACACATGTCATCGGCATAGGTGGTGATAACACTTTTGGGATGTCAGCTATGTAAACTGCGTAAAGGGTAGGACCTAGTGTGAGCAGAAACCAAATTGATGTAGGATAAAAGATAGAAGGATAAAAGATAGGAGAAATAGAGAGGTGGTTTATTGGGTTTATGTATTATTTTAATAATTGATAGTTTCCGAATGTCAGGAAAATATGTGGATTGGAGTACAGCATTATATATATAGGTTACGAATAGAATGATCTTCAGAGGAAACAGTTTTAGGATCTGGAATATAATTAGGTCGTACACAGGAGCTTTGAAAACTTTTTTTAAAATTATGAAAGTTAAACTTTAGGAAATAAAAATGTGTGGGCACAAGTCAATTTTTAAGAATAAAAACAATTTTTTTGAGTGGACAAAATCTTTTTCAAAGCATTAATAACTAAAAATATACATAAAATAAAAGTTTAGATTTTTTTTCTTTTTTTTTTAGTTGCTAAAACAAATTATTATTATAATTTAATTTGAGAAAAACTATTTTATTGTAGAGCTTTTAATCTTAATGTCATATTAAAAATAATTGATTATTAGGTTTACTTCATTGCATCTCATAATAATATTCAGCATAGAAATTAGACCTCAAGTGATAATAAATAAATTATATATATATATATAAATATATATATATATATATATATATATATATATATATATATATATATATATATATTATATATATATATATATATATATATATATATATATATATATATATATATATATATATATATATATATATATATATATATGTCATACAAATAACAAATAGTTAATATTAACAAGATAATATTAAGTAAATTAGGCATTGCAGATATATTATACCTTCGTTGAAAGAGAAAATACTCTTCTTTTTCTTTTAAGTTTAAGCATTTCAATTCATCATCATTATTGACTTCTTCAATTATTATATCTTTGTCTGTAAACCTGACAAAAATAAAATAATGTTAATTTTCTATTTTCTTTTTTTTTTTTATGACGATCATTTAATTTTAACACAACTATTTCAGTTTTGAACTAATTGTTTCTCTTAATTTACAAATGATTAAATTCACACTTACTGATTACATTCCTTCTCGGTAGAAACCATAGTCTAACCAACTGCACTAAACGGTAGTCTAGCTTGTCCTGCTAGATGTAATATTATAATTTAGCAAAGTCAAGATTAATCTCTTGCTTCATAGAGATAATCTGATTATAACATTTGACTAACAGAGATAAAGAATTTTTCTAATCTTTAAAATTCAAACTAAAGCAACTTAGTAAACATTAATTTATAATTAAAACTAGAATTGAAAAAAATAACACTAAAGCAATTATCTGGCAAATACAAACATTACATTTATCCAATAAACAATATTGTAATCAACTAACATTAGAAAAAAATGTAAATATATACTTATTGAAAAATATTATAACAAAAATATTACAAAAGCAGTTCTTTGTAAGATCATCTGAACTGAATTTAAGAGCAGGTAATATGCTATGCATGTTCGAAATGACACTGAATAGGCCAGCTAACTGGTAAAAAGGCTGGTTGAAATAACAACAGATTGGAAGATTGTAACACAAAACGTATAGAATAAAAAGATGGCCTTCTAGTAAATTATAATTGCATATCAAACTAATAAAGAATAAAACATGAATATGGAAATTAACTTTCCTTAATAAGAAAATTAATGTAATCTACAAAAATCTGAAAATAAAAAAAATTCTGGAATAGGAATTTTAAATAATATGATTAATAATTATCTTAATTTTTATCATGGATAACTTTTAATATATTTTTTTAAATTATATTCACCTTGATATCGGAAAAAATATTTAAACTTTTATTTAAAAAATATTATTTTCTTAAACTAAATTTATTACTTTTTTCAATTTCATCCATCACATTATTTTGAAAAATAATTTAAAATGTTTTTTGTTAAAAAAAGAAAATATTTTTTAAATAATAATTTTACCACTTAAGTGTATCAACACTGATATTTTTGATTACCAACATCAAAAATATTATCCATAGATATAATTTCAGTCAAAATTAATTCATTTAATGCAGCTTTAATCAATTATTGATAATTTGTTTTTGGTAATTTTTTTAAAACATTAATGTCCAGAGATATTAAAACTATGGGTGATTCTACAAGTGGCCTTTTCTTTTCCCAAGCCATTTAAGGGATTTAAATAAAAGATAAGTAATATATTTTAAAAACCTTGAATAATGTGTTTATCATAAACTGTTGTTTGCTTTCGACCAATCTGTCTAACAATGATTTCATAATTCAATTTTTAGATGATTTTTAAAAAGGTAAATAATGTTATTTTAAGAATTGAGATATATTTGATAATTGATACAATGACAATAAACAAATATAAAGATATTTTAACCATATTTTTTACAGTCTGTAAAGATTAAGGCAAAATACTTAATAATTATACTGAATTTTTTAACAATAAGAAACATGTCTTAACATATCTTTATTTACACATTAATGATTAGCATTACAAAGAATAAATGAAATCAAGCTATAATTAACATTCAAATTTAAAGTAAAAATAATACAAAAAAATGGCCAAAAACAAAAGTGTTATAATTAAAAATATCTTTTAAAAATGTCTTTTTTAAGCTGATCATTCTGCACAACCCACCGTTGTAAACAGTTCATCGATGATATTTAGAATTGCTGGCTCACAACTTTTTCTGCCCCAAGGCTCAGTGCAGATATGAGTGGTTCAACACAGGAAGGTGGTACCAAGGTACCGACTATCTTCCCTCCATCTGTAGTCTTCACTCTTACCACTTGAAGGCTACTACCCTTCGATATGATGTTTTCTATTGTATTCCAAACTGAGAGTACAGAACCAGAAAGAATATTATAAACTCTTCTACGAAGTCCAACATCACAGCATTCCCCTAACAGATTTCTTTTGCAAATTCCTCCCCAGTATTGATGTGAACAAATATTGGATGATGCATGATACCTAGCTTGCCAATGCAACTTTGCTTCTGATCTTTTAGCAAATTTGAATTTTCTTAATATAGATGATTTAAGTTCTTTCCTAACCTGACGACCAACATTGGGGCGATATATTACAAAGTGTTCTCCATCAGTATTTTTAGATGACTCTCCTTCTTCTACAGCTAAAATAACTTCACGGTTATTATTTTTAGGCTGAGATAAATAAAATCCTTTTGCTGAATTAGCTTTTTCCCAAATCCTCAAAGCTTCTTCCCATGTCATGCCTCTTTCAGCTTCGACTCTATGTAATTCTGTTGATGCCAAACCAGTAACATGTGGTCTAATGAATCTCTGAACTGAAAGCCTCTTCAAAATTTGATCACTTGTAGCAACATCTAAAATACCAAGGTCAAAATGACCAGAATTTTTGGCTCTTTCAATAACAGCTTCCATTGTGTCAGTGAAATACTCAAATATAGCATTTTGGAGATCAACTGGAAGGCCTAAAATTCTATTCAGGAATTTACCAATAGATTTTCTGTCAATATCCAATGATACACTGCCATTTTCGTTAGACATTAACAAGCCAACACGTTTTAAGCCTTCTTCGGCATCTTTCATGAAATCACCAAGGTAAGAAGATGGAGGGGATACCAATTTCTCATTGTTATATGGTAAAAATGATTTGAGAGTAATTTCAACAGCCATTCTACCATAATTGTTATCGATATTAAACTTGGACAAATCCCTTGCTTCAGTTGCACGCCGGTCACCTTGGGTCAATGCTCCTAAGCATTCTAATCTTTTTGCTACCACAGATGCAAACCTTCTTTCTCCTCCCAGATCTGAAATGAGCAATATATACTCCGGGGCATTTTTTTGATTGCTGCGATGAGTTCTACCAAACTGCTGAATTGCCTTGTCAGCACTCCAGGGAAGTTCAAGTGTAATATGAACCCGACATCTTTTATTAATGGCCCTTTTATCACTATGAAGAGAAATACCAGAGCTAGCAGCTTCTGATATTATGGCAACATCTTTTTCTCCATCCATGAATCTTTGTTTTTCAATTAAATTCATCACCTCCAGTGAGGATTCTGAATCTGATCTTGATTCATACTTAAAGTTTCCATCATTTTGAACAATTCTTCCTTTACGACCTGTCATTTCTGCAACATTATCAGGACCGCCTAGTTCGTCAATAAGTTCATCAAGAGCATTCGGAGGAAGTTGTTTACCAAGGTCTTCTATTTTCCTCAAAAGATTTCTTTTCATTTTGTGAATGGTGGTGATTAACTCTACATTATCATACTGCCATGATTCCAGACACTGACTGTCGGTGTTGTCACTCAAGCTACTATCACTTTCAAAACTGCTCTCATCAGAAAGAGGTATATTCCAAATCATTCTTCGCCTTTTAACTCTATTTCTTTCTTTTTTATCTTTGGAAAGAACTTTTGCTGCATTCTTAGTAGAAACATTATTCATAGTTGGTTCTGGGAAATGTTTTTCTACAAGTGACTTTAGAACTCCATAAGCAGTAGAAATGAAATCACTTAATTCACCATCTTCTTTGTCAATTTCTTGTAATGTTCTTGCTTCTCCTGTAGATTGAAGACCAATAACAACACATTTACCACATTTGATAGCTTCGCGAGTAATACTCACAGTTTTCTTTACTTTTGCTGAAATACACATATATTTAAAAAATCTTTGGTGTGATCCCCAAAATTGACTCCATATTACTTTAATAGATAATTTGCTCAATTTGATCAAATCCATAGCCTTCCTAAAGCTAACAGCAGCTTCAGCCCACAAGGCAGTAGCATTGTCATATACCTTTTTAAATCTTTCACCCAAGCTAACTTCAATAATTTTAAAAATGACTCCATGGAAGCTTAACTGCCTTGCCATGTAAAGACCACGCAATTTCATATCCATAGCAACAATTTCCATAACACCCACACCCCTTTTATTAAGTATTGAATGGAATTCAGAGAAATCTTTGTACGGAGTTCCGGGTCCCCACATTCCGAGTCTCACCATGTATGCCATGTTTTTTGGTTCAGTGGCTCCAGTAGCGGATGCATATACGACCCTGGCGTTTGGGAGTTTTTTTTGAAGTTCTAGGACCACTTGCCCCGTTTTTGTAGATCTTCCAATTCCTTTAAAATTCAAATTTTTGGCCTTATGGCATTCGTCAAACACGAGCACCCCATCAAAATCAGTGCCACACCAATCTACCAACTGTTGAAATCTTGTATCAAACAATGACGTACTTTGAGTGGTCTTCGCTATTATAGAACTGTATGTACAAAAAATAACTCCTTTCTTTATTTTTCCATTTTCATCAGACGATAGTTTCGTATATTTACATTTGTTTAAACTATATAAACGAATTTTGGAGGCTCCTATATCGGAGAGATCACGTTCGGCATCTAATTTGAGGTCAGTCATAATAGAAACCCAAATCGCTTTTTTCCTTCCACGTAAATAATTTTCAAATATGATGCCGGCAATCGTTCTACCTTTTCCTACACCAGCGCCATCTCCAATTAAAAATCCACCTCTTGAACCATCTGGAAGCTTCCTTTCGTGTTGCTGACAAACGTAGGTAATGGATTCAAGTTGAAGAGCTGACAAAGCACCGCTAGTAATAGTTTCTTCAGGTATAATAAGTTTATACCACACATCAGCCGGTGGAACACTAGATAGGGAGGTTGATTCAACAACAGGGTCAGGGTGTTTGAGACCAATTTTTAATTTTGCTGGCATGTAATTTTCATAAGTTTCAGCAACACCCATCCCTTCTTCTTCATTGTTTTCAATTTCATTCTGAACTATTCGGGATGGGTTCACTACTAATGGAGTAGATGAGACGCTAGACTGTTGAAATAATACATTACCGATTTGGGTTTTAAAATTAAAATGCTTTTTATCGATAAAAATATTTTTATTTAATAAAATTCCATCATCACCGACGAGATCGTTTGGTTTGGCTAAATTTATGATATAATTCATACATGAGGTTGATGAAGATTTATCATTAACTAAGGCTTGTTTATCAACAATTAATGCCTTATTATAACCAGTAATAGAAGAATTGTGGCTGGAAAGAACTTGAAACAAATTGGCACTTTTCGAAACATTTGAATTTGGAACCGCACCGATACTAGTACACCCCACATTCTGATAAGGAACTGTTCTTTCTACTCCTCCATACGATTTAATATTTAAAACTTTTCGATCCTTACATACCAATGAAGCTAAGTCTTTTCCACCACCAGGGACTTCTAGATGGTCAGGATCTTCAAATTCACTATCACTGCTCATATTAATCACTTTAATTACTTAAAAAATAGATTAAAAACAATCCAAGAATCATATAGCCCTCAACCGTGAATTAACATCCACTGCTTAGGAACAGCTGAAAGAGACTGACTCTTATAAACCAGTGTTACCTTATATATAAGTTGTCAGCAATTATAACATAAACTATTGTTATCACTTACGAAAAAAAAAAAAACTACCAATCAACATTTAATGGTAATATAAACGTTTGAAAAAGAAGAAAACAAAATCGTCGTCTTGAAATAAAGCATTTTCTTTGTTTTCAGTCGGCAACAAAGAAGTCACTGTTTGCTATGCCTAATAGATCCATGTTGTCTGATAGTGTATATTTTTTGCTTTGATAGCAATAAGCATTTCTACAATATATTAATATAAATATTTAGGAATTGGCGCCCTCTGGTGCTAAAGTTGCAACACCATCATATTGATTAAAGTTTTTTTTATTCAAACGGTGCACATTGTTGTTGACGTACCATTAATTAATCGACTAATTAGCACTTAGTTTAAAATTTATCTTTACAATTCTATACTCAATAAGACAAGTTGTATTTCCAAATTAACATATTGTTAAAAATTGACTGTGATACACGTTTTAAAATGGTCCTAATCTTCGAAAAACACAAAAATAAGTTACAAATTTTTGTTTTTAAATATATGGTTTGTGATGAATGAATCTTTAACAACGGAAACATGTTATGAACAACTTAAGTCTAAGAAGAGGCATTTTATGTTTACCAAACCATTACAATTTTCAAATACGTAAATATGTTCCCTCTAAAAATACACAACCTGATAAAAGATGCCTCGCTCAAAATTTTTGATCGTCGATATCTTTATGAAACAAGCCATTCTAAATATTTTGGCAATCTTTTTTCGATTAATTGAGTTTATTACAGTCCTAGAAAATTGTTTTATTAATAAAATTACTCATTGATTGATATGTAAATTAATATTTGAAAATTCTAATTATATTTTTACCAACTATACTTCAAATGATAAAATCATATTTCATTCAAAATAAAATAAAATTGGTTAGTTGTAAATTGTTCGATAATGAATATAGGCTTCGTTGTACTCAGTATAGTTTTATCTTGGATGGAAACAACAGAAAAGTATTTCTCAAAATACACACCCGAAAGGGAAGAAGACAACTAAAAATATTTTCTATAGTTTGATTCATCTATAAATACAATTAAGATTACACTAACATTTCAGGATTTTACTACTTTTTCTTTTAAACGAAATGATTGGGTCACGTGGATGGGGTAACCAGACCATTTGGGATTAATGTTAATGCGGAGGATTAATATTTGAGGTTTCCTAAAAAAATACCATCTTTTCATTGTTAATATCAAAAGCCACTTTAGTTTAAAGAATTCAGCGAATGGCTTAAGTTCTTCACCGAGATGTTATTCAAATCCTCCGTGTAAGCACTGGCTGTGTTTGCAGTGCATTCCATAATAACTTCTGTTGTGAACGTTTTCAACTGCCGAAGTATTTCAGTCACGGTATGCTTCCATCCAGTTATGTAGATGTAAATTGACTCCTGGCTTTTAATTTTCTTTTGGGTGTTTGATTTTCAATAATTCATCGAGCCACTGAAATTATCCTAGCTAGTATTTTGCTAGCGTGTTCTCGAATTTTGTTTGTATTGCTTCCTTATTACCAAACATAGGGAAGCTTTTTATTCGTGCGGGAGGTTAAACAAAAAAAAAAAATGCGCTCAGAATTGAAAATTTCTTCTCGCGTTTTACGCTTTAGACATCAAGTAATATATTTTAGAAAAAGTTGGGTATTGGTAGAAAAATGGCGCGTACTTTTTTTTTTTTTTTTAGTTTCATCCACTACTTGCAATTAAACATGCATAAATATATTTTCCTTGGCATGCTTATATTTCAAGAACCGCACGTTCGATTTGGCCCAAATTCAGAGGGAAGCTAGAGATTGAATGATGATGAAATAGATATCTTTTTCATCAAATTCTATGAAAACACAAAAATGCTCCCGCATTCAAATATATAATCGTACAGTTTTTAACATGCCAATAGTTTGAAAACCGTTTGATTTGCTTCAAAGTTGACCATAGAGGAAATTTGGAGAATATTGTACAAAATGTCTATAATCAATTTCGTCTAACGATTAAAATTAATATAAATAATTGTTAAATGTAGTAGGCAGTGAAAATATAGAAAGTGATTTATTTACTAGGGGGAGAGAGAAACTAATTTACTTCATAGGTTACAAGATTTCAGACTTCCACAACCGTCCTAACTATTTGCGTGCTCGACAAATCCTTCCTAAGCCGAGCTTTCTCCTGGAAATCCATCCCGCTTAGCAGGGTCAATCAATGGTTTCCTTGAAATCTCTCCTCTTACAACCACCTTTACCTAGCCCAATCTAATTACTATTATTTTTTTACTTCATCTTTGTTTTCTAATTCACTTTCTCCTACATTTCAAATGTTTCCCAGAGTTCATTCTGGCTCCATTTTACACAAACTTTTTATATTCATTTTTTGTCAAAAATATAGTTTTGTTATTTTAGTTTCTGGATAAATGTGTTTTTCTTTGAGTGGACTGTATGCACTGTAATCCCTTAGCATGCCATGGTTATTTTCCAGAATAATCACGCGAGTCATGCTTTCTTTGTAGGGACATATGAAAGTCAACAAGGAAAAGAACGCAGATTTTTTGTTAATTTGAATTTTATTAATTTGTTCTCGCACTCATACCTACTAAGAGGACTTGATCCTCCGACCTGCGAGAGCTGCAAAATCAAAGTTAGACATGGCACAGAGTCTAAAACAAAATCTACAAGACAGTGAAAGTGCAATCAAAAAAACTTTAATGTTTTTAAAAGAGATAAAACTCTACAGCAGAGTGTAATTTAAAGGCGTTGACAACGATTCTACAGGGTAGAGGCAACAAAACATCAAATTAATAAATCATTTGAATTACAGTCCGGATGGTACGGGCATGTGTGCAGAATGAGCCTGGATCGAGATCCACGAAAATATACGGAGGAAAGAACAGTAGGCAATACTAGGCCTAGAAGACCTCGGTTTAATTATAATAGCTATATTTTGAAGTTGGCTCGAAATCTGAGTCTTTTGGATTATAGCAAAGTCTCTTGGCTCGAGAGGAAGGACGTTGCAGGAGATGACGACTCTTGCGAGGGACAGAGATGGATGGAGATCCTGAGTTGGATTAATTCAACTCTGAAAGTCACAAAGAGAGAGTTAAACAAGAAGAAAAATTATATTATCTACTCAGATCTTTGTATCTTTCTTTCAGTTTTCATGATATTTACTACTGAAATAGAAATAAAGATACATACATACATACTAGTACAAGATACTAGTTAATGTGAATAAATTAATATGATAACATGAAAATACTTGTTGAAAAACAGCACTCTAATAATACGTCTACATTAAGAGACCATGGGGCCATCTTCTTTTCAGACGCCTCAGAGGGTTATCAGGAATCGAAGACGAATCATGGTGAGAAACGGTAGGGTGTGGATGGCTGTGAACTTTATTATGAAAGGATAGGTATCTGGATTTGGTAAAATAGGATGATTTTATTTTGACAAAGTAGGAAGAATTGAGGATTGTGGATTTTAAGGATTTGGTACGAAAGGAATGCGATTGTTGGGTGTAGCCCTATAGCTCAACTCAGTAAGTACAAATAGGTCTTATTAAAGTCATATATATGAGCCTTAGGCAGTTAATTGGAAGCTTTGAGCGTTTATCTAGTGTTGAAATAGTGAGAGGTTGAGCGGTTTGTTGTCGTTTCAATCAGGTGTGTGGATTCCGAGTTCAAGTGGTGTCCTATTTATGGCATTAGTTCAACAGAAATAAGTGGAGTATTGTAGGATACTGTAGGACAGGAAGTCATCGTTTGACGACCATTTATAAATTTAAATTATTTTTTTTTATCACTAATTGTAAGAAATGAGTTCTCATAATGAATGTATAATATATAATGGATACGTACAATGTATAAATGATAAACAATAACGTATGAATGCATTTGTATCATTTAGATAGTACTTGTTTCTTTTGAAATTGAACAAGCTCATCATGGTCTCGGTTTTTCTCTCCAATTAAACTCCAAAGTAGTAAGGGATCAAATTCGACAGATCTTTAAAATAATTATTGTTGAAGAGTAAGACGTAGGCCTCGATAACTTTTAAGGATGTATTGATTGATCTTCTTTTTATGAAATGTGGAAACTTCACTCATACTTTTATAATTCTCCTTAAATTAGTTTCGTTGTGGCTGATGAAAAATGTCGGATTAGTTAATACTGAATAAACAAAAAAATGAATTTCTTTAACGTTATGTAGCTGTAAATTGACTCCTGGCTTTTAATTTTCTTTTGGTTGTTTGACTTTCTATAATTCATCGAGTCACTGAAATCATCTTATCTAACATTTTGGTTGCGTGTTCTCGAATTATGTTTGTATTGCTCCTTATTACCAAAGATAGAGCTTACCATCTTATAGCTTTCTATTTGTGCGGGAGGTTAAACAAAAAACAAACAATTGCTCACAGAATCGAAAATTTTCACATTATTTTGTTTAAGCTATTTTACGATTGAAAATATACCTATTAAGAACATATGCATGTTGAATATGTGCATATAATATTCATTCATTCATGTATGGCACAACATCCCGTCACCGAGACTGGGCCTCCTCCAAGAGCCTCCGCCAGTTGGCTCCGTCTTCTGCTGCAGCTCTCCAGTTCCGCACACCAAGCAGGGTTCTCGCATCATAGGCCACGTTGTCCAACCATCTCGTCCTCGGCCTTCCTACCCGTCTTACGAGGTGCAGCTCCTCCATCATTATTTTTTTTGGTATTTCAAGGGTGCTCATTCTGGCCACATGCCCTGCCCACCTTAGTCTGGCCAGTTTAATATACGTGACTACGTCGATGTCTGCATAGAGAGAACTGAGCTCCCTATTTTTTCTTTTCCTCCAGACATTACCCTCCTTTACTGGACCATAAATCCTTCTGAGGACTCCTCGCTCAAAGACACTCAGCTTCATCTCATCCCTTTTGGTCATCGTCCAAGCCTCTGAGCCATATGTCAAAACAGGCCGAACAAGGGTCTTGTATATGATCAGCTTGGTCTTCTTTGAGAGGTACCTACTTCTTAAGTGTCGGCCAAGTCCAAAGACACATCTATTGGCAGCCGTGATCCTTCTTTGTATTTCTTGAGCCATGTCATTCTTGCTATTGATTTCAGACCCAAGGTATATAAAACTTTTCACTCTCTCAAACTTAAAAGAACCTACCTCAAATGGAGAGTTCAGATCAACCTCACCGCCAACTCTCATATACTTAGTTTTCCTCTCGTTGACTTCTAGACCAAGTGGTCTTGCAGCTGCTTCAAGGCTTATAAACGCTTCTCTGAGAGCCCGTTCAGACCTACCTACTATGTCAATATCATCAGCAAAACCAAGAAGCTGTGTCAGGCGATTGAAGATTATATCTTTGGTCTGAATACCGGAGTCTCTTACAGCTTTCTCCTCTGCCAAATTGAACAATAGACAGGCGAGGGCATCCCCTTGCCTAACCCCACTGCTCACTTTAAACTCTTCGGAGTCGTCAGAACCGACGCGTATTCTGCATCTCGAGCTGTCCATGGTCATCTTGATTAGGCGTACGAGCTTCTGAGGGATGCTTAGCTCCTCCAAGGCACAGTATAGTTGCGTTCTATCAACGCTGTCGTATGCTGCTTTAAAGTCCAGGAATAAATGGTGGGTGACTACCTTACGCTCCATAGTCTTTTCTAGGATCATCCTCAGAGAGAACAGTTGATCAGTCGTTGAGCGTCCTCTTCGAAATCCAGCCTGATATTTCCCCAGTTCCTTTTCAGAATACGGGAGGATCCTCTCAAAAAGAATGTTAGAGAGCAGCTTATAAGCACACGAAAGGAGTGAGATTCCTCGATAGTTAGCGCATTCTGTTTGATCTCCTTTCTTATGTATTGGGCAGATAATGGCTGTTGCCCATTCCGTAGGCATAGCTTCCTTCTCCCAGATGGTCAGCATTAAATCATGCAGAGCTTTCTTGAGTTCTTCACCTCCACATTTCAACAGCTCTGACTGGATTCCGTCCGGGCCTGGCGCCTTTCCATTTTTCAATTTCCTCAGGGCGTTTTCCATTTCCTCCTCATCCGGGGGTTCAATAGAATTCAGGAAGTCTTCCTTCATTACACCTACTTCTCCAGGCACCGTTCCTCTGTTTAATGCACCTTTGAAATGTTGTACCCATCTCCTTAGTACGTCATCTTTGTGGCTTAAAAGAGTTCCATTTGTGTCTTTGCATGCCGTCACTCTGGGCCTAAAAGCTGCCCTACCCTCGTTTATTCTCTGAAAGAACAGGCGACTTTCATTTTGGCCTCGCAATGCCTCTGTGTCCTCCATGTTCTTATTTTCCCAAGCTCTTCTCTTTCCGCGGAATAATCTCTTCTCTTCGCGTCTTTTTCTTCTATATGTTTCTTGGGAGAGCCTTGTGGGACGCTGAACCTTCTTTCTGTAGGCTTCATTTTTCACTTTTACTGCTTGAAGGCACTCAGCATCAAACCATGGGGGCCTTCTAGATTTAGTCTCGTAGCCAAGAGCTTCTTCTGCTGCCTGTTTCATTGCGTTGCTGCATCTCTTCCACTGTTCATCGACCATAGAGCTGTCATTAATTACTTCTTCATTAAGTTTCGTCTCCACAGCTTGTTGATACGAATATTGGTGGTCTGAGTCCTTAAGTTTAACCACATCAATCTTCTTCTTTGGTCGTTGGTAGTTGTTTTTAATCAGCGAAATTCGTGATCTGACCTCGGCAATGCTCAAATAGTGATCCGTGTCCATATTTGCACCTCTATAAGATCTTGCATTTATCATGTTGGACTTGTGACGGGCACTAATGTGCATATAATATATACTGAAAATTGCTTATGTCCATGATTTAGTTTTATGTCAAATAAACAATTCTCAAAAGTGGAACTCTTCGTATGCATTGATGATCAAAAATCGCGGATATTATACCTTCGATATCGAGGGATTATTGTATTACGAAAACTCCTTCTCAGTTGGATTTTATTTTCAAACAAAAATTGTAGACCTTGAAATATAAGTAATTATGTAACCAATGAGAATCGTAAGGAGGTTATACTGGTAAACCAACGAAAATCTATAGTTTTTGCAAAGTTTGTCAATTTTCAACTTCCTCTTGCTCCTCGCATGTTTATCCTTCATTCAAGACCTAGAAGTGAAAGTTAAAGTAAATTTTCCTCTGTAGAGTGGTCAATTCGATAAAGTCCATAGTTTCGGGTTTGCTGACAAATAACTGCAAAAAAGGCGAATGTTTTTGTTTTTAGCTTATACCTCCGGAGGAACAGAGGAATTTTGTTTTCAAACATCAAATTTGGATTTAGCATTATCGATAAATGTATTGAATTGCTCGAAATTGTCTCTACTTGATTTTTATTAATGAGAGGAGCTTTTCCGTTAGGGTAAATGCACCAGTAGCTGACATACTTTAGGAAATTTCTTTGAAATTTTACGTGTAAAAACTTAAATATTAATGTTGTTATATTTTTGATGGATTCATCTTATGGAACTATTTCTCGCCTTACCAAGACATATTTCGAATCCGTAAAACATTTATCTAAAGTTTAAAAAATTGAAAATAATTTTGTTGTACCAGTACCTGACATTGTTTGATTTGAAATGTTCCTATAGCTGATGGAGGTGAGAAAAAAGATATAATTTAGGGAAATTTCATATTCTTCACTTTTGGAGTAACAGAAATTATCTTTGACTTATTATAAAACTAACGTCTTGCGTTTCCTGACTTGTATAATTTACCAATAAATGCTGGTCACTGTCAAGAATTTCTTTTTGGCAACAGGACTATGTATTTTTGATTTATATTTAATCCAAATCATTAACAATTTTTTTTAGGTGCACAGTAGTGAATAGTCCGTTATTTTTAATAACAAATATTTAATTTTTTTTAAAATCCGTTATTTTGAGTATATCTCTTTGAATTTATGAGAGCACGGGCCTGTCCACTACTGGAAAAAGTCCCCATTATAAGGCTCCAGTCGCTGACACCCATTAAATATCCAATTCCTTCATCAAAATACGTTAAAAACTAATAAAACATAATTTAAGAACAATCAAACAAAATTTTTGGCTAAATCTTAGTAGTTAAAGAGAAAAAGGCAAACCTAAGGTATGGTCGGTATGCTCTTACCGACAGATGGTTGTTCCTAGGACACTAAGTGGATCGTGAGGGACCTTCCTAATTTGCCACTTATTATTTCGGTTGTAATTTCTGACAAGACCAAAGTAAAGCTGACAAAAATACAAGAAGAGATTATAGAAATTAAAAATATATGGAATTGGGGTCTTGAAGGTCCTGAAATTTCACAATTCCCATTTTTCGAGGAGCGTGTCAGGTATTGCTACACTGTCAGCTAATAGTGCTTTTACCCTACCGTTTTTTGGTGGTCTAATGCCAGGAATAAACAAAATTAAATTTATAAAGTAAACAATAGAAACAGATTCGGTTGATTTGAAGAAAAAAAAGGTAAACATTGGCTTTACGACTTGATTAGCACATAATGTGTTGGATAATTTGCCTTTATGCTGATCAGGTACTAATCGGATTCCATAGCCTTCCTTGTGAACTTGGTTTTTCTCAGTACTTGATTATTCTGGTTCGAGGTAGTTACTTCTCAATTGGATCTCAGTGAGGGACCGACAGGTAAATGGTTTTTGTGTTAAATAATTAATTAAGTGTTCGAATTGTGACATAAATATCTGATCAAGGACATAAGTATTAAAATTAGATGTCACGAATTTTGTTTATACCTAACAGGTTGATGCGGAAATTGTCCTCAGAATCTCTCGGTTTAATATTAAATGTTAAGGAACAAATTTGGTTTCATGTCTGTCTGTAGGCTTATCAATGTAACGAATATAACACCTACCACCATTAATCTAATTTTAATTAAATTTTCTGGGATCGTGTGCCTTGATATCTAGATGATATCTTATCAATTGCATCAAATTCCACTTACTAATTTTGCATAACCAGGCGCAAAAATGTTTTATTTTACATGTCTATATTTTAATAAAATGATCGTCTGATTTGGTTTAAGATAGGGGAAAAGTGTCAATTTTATCAAGTTCCATTAATTAAAGTGTTTTTCTTGACAGGCTTATTTTTCAGAAAAGGCCTAGTCCCTTAGATTATATTCTCAAATCATAAAACATTGACTTTGAAATATAATTGATTAATGTGAAATAATATTTTTCTATTCTGGAATGGCATGCAAGTTATTTTACAGAAAAAAACCCAGTGATTTTAATTAAATTAACTAAGCAAATTATTTAATCCTAAAATTACTCTTATACATGCCACCAATTCTACATAAAATGAATATTACGATGAGAAATATGCTTTACACAATATGCCCCATGGTGTAATTTTTGAATCCCTTGTATTTATTTGAGAGAATTTATTCTATTATAAATTACCCTGATTTGTATATTTTAAAATGTACTTATATGTATCAAATGTGTAGAATAAATAAAAAATTAAATAAATATTGCTATTGAAATTTCTAAAATAAATACTCAATCATTATTATTTAGTTTTATTCGTTTATATATATATATATATATATATATATATATATATATATATATATATATATATATATATATAGGCCTAGCTAATTTGTAATAATTAATTTTACACTTTGAGGTGACTTCTAATTAGTTATTTTTGGTAATAGCATTTAATCTAGGAATTACAATATCCGGCATTGACGTCGGAAGCATGAACGTTGAGAAAAATAAAAGTATTGTCTTTATTACTTCTCATGCCTTGAACGACGACTATTCTTGAAGGACATCTATCTTTTTATTGTCCTTTTTATATATATTTCATAACATAATTCAAATATCAAGGAATGCAAATTACGGGGAAAAAATCTGGTGCGGCGTTCATCACACAGCTTTCACTTATCAACATAATTAAATTTATGCTGAGATATTAATACTAGTTAATGTTACTTTCACTTACCCATATATGTAATATATAGTAAGGGAAAGTATTGCATTCGAAAATTTTCGAATTTGAGTTTTCAACAGAAATACACGTCCCCTGAGTCTAAACAGAGATGGGCAAATGCTACTTTGAGTACCGAGTGCCAAGTATTTTACTCAAATTAAATCACTATTGTAAATTCAATCACTACTTCCATTAATCATTTTACATTAACTGAAGTAGTAATTAAATTCTTTGGTACTCAAAATAGGTCAGTATTTGAGTGAAATACTTACTACTCAGTACTCAGTGTAGCATTTGCCCACATGTGAATTTAAATGACCAAGTCCCGCAAAATGGTCTGTGTTGAGTTAATGCATGCTATCTGGCAGCACTGTAGCTGTTGTAAACAAAGCAGGTTGGCTTGGGTGAGGTTACCCACAGAGCAGTAGTCCTTTCTTCCTAATAGTGTGATGTTTATGTAGATGAATAAAGATGTGTTGTGCATTGTGATATAAAATTTATCAATATAGCCTCATTTGTTTCCCGAACTGATTTCCTGACATCACAGTCGGTGTGTGTATGTATGTGGCAAGTCTAACTCAAAAACGAAAAGTTGTACGAAACTGTTATCACAAATTTAATATAGGTGTATACCTTGGATGTGGCAGCAACTTCTTCGTTAAAATCGACTAACCGGAAGTGCCACTTTATATCAATGGTTATACACATTTTTACAATTTTCTCAAAAATACTCCAACGATTTTGATTAATTGTGTGTCATTCTATAATTAAGTATTCTTTAATATCATTGAGGTCTTATCCCCACTGATGCACACTTAACACAATTGCCCAATGTTCGTATACTTCTATCTCTAAAGTACCTTTAATATGGTTTATTTAAAAAAAAATAATCATCTCACATTATCCAGAGTTACGAAAAAATGCTAACTATAATTTTTGAAAGAATTTGATAATTGGGTAAAGGTGGAAAAAAAAAATGTTTATCCAGGTCGAAAATGAATCTCCGGAAATAACAGTCAGAAGGTATACATATAATATATCATTTGAGAGCAGAGAATTTTAGAAAAAACAATATCTAATATAGAAAGTTTTATAAGGTAACGGAGAGTGGTGAAAAAATTATAAATAATCATTTTTAAAAACTAATAATATTTAACGTTAATCACATGTTTTCAAGGGAATTAAATGAAATTTACTGACTAAATTTTGATCTATATATGCCAGGCAATGAAAATCTCGCAATTTCATTGTAGTATACTTCACAATAGAAAATGACAGTTTAATAACTAATAGGCGTACAATCCATAATCATTTATAGGTTTAATATAGAGATATACTTTTAACTCTCTCTAGGCATATATTGCTTGGGGACTGGAGTTATGTGGTTTACAAAAACAGATGGAGTACTGAGGTTTTTATTGTCTAGCGTTGATATAATTAAAAGAATTTTTTGTTATTTTGTGTTAATCATTTGTTAGCTGTAAACTTTAAGCTGTAGGTTCGTTAAAAGTGCACTTTAAAATTTTTTATAAATTTTAGAAAATAATTTCTAATCAAAGTAGAAAGGTAAGTAAAAGTTATATGTTGCGTGTATCGGATGTTTTTGCTATTTAAATCAATTATCGTGGTTGAATTTATCAAAGATAAGGTTTTATCATGTCGTAAAACTAAGATAAAATAGTTTTAAACAGGGAGCCCATCTCCCCCCCCCCCCAAGGTCAACGGCGCAAAAACCTCCTCCCCCTCCCAAGGTATTTTATTGCTCACTTTTCTTAAAAACGGAACAAGAGAAAGTAGAATTAGATAAATCGTAGATCATACACAATTATTTTCGCTGTTGTCTGTTTCAGGTATTTTCCTTGTCCCTTACTCAGAGTTTTCATTCCAAAATTTCATAACACCGTTAAAATATGTCCCACTCAAAAATTCGAAAATCCGTCAAAAATTTTGATGGCGCAACTTGCGACCCTGTTTTTAAAACAATTCATTACTAATCATACTTTCTGGTGCCACACTTTAATAGGATATAAAAATCGTCAAAGGCTAACTTATGTTAAAAGTATGATATATTAATAAGTGTCGAATTTTAAATAATCTGTTTTTTAATTTCTCTAGTTTAAGGAGAAATAAGAGAAAATAAAAATTTCAGATAGTGCAATAATTTAAAACAATTAACTACAATACCTTTTTCTAAGGGTCAAATTCTTTAAATTTATTCACTTTTCTTCCCTGTTCATTTTCTTCTACGATTATATTTTTATTATTTATAAATTTATTTAACTATAACAGGATAAGTAAGGCAAACTCGATATACTACCAGATGTTCGATAGTGTGATTGGAAAGCGAGAGGTGTCCAGAAACGTAAAGCTCCACATATAAGAGCCACTATTCCTTTATAGAGCTGAAAGCTGGATAACGAATGATAAATAACAGAGCAGAATGGCATCTGTGGAAATGAGGTTCCTTCGAAGTATTGCTGAGAAAAATATAATGCGTCCGCAATGAGAGGAACTAGGAGTTCTCTCAGTGAGGGAGGTCGTAGAGGCTCGCCAGTTGAAGCGACTCGGCTAAGGAGTCGGGATGAAGGGGAAAACCGAGATTCCCTGAACACTATGGTCTATGCCCCTGATGGTAGAAAACCTGGAGGTCGACCAAGGATGTCAAACCTACAATACGTCGACCGTATGTGCAAAAGAAGAGGAAAGGATCTGCGCCAAGCCAGGAACCTGGCAAGAAACAGAGAGCAGAGGCAATCCTGGTTAAACGCTCCCCTTGGCTTGATAGCCACAGTGTGACGCAAAAGAATAAGAAGTTAATTATAAAATTATTTCTTAGTTTATATTTTACCATTTTTTTTTTTATTATTAGATATAATATGAAATGGTTTATTATTTATGCAGATCGAAAATGAATCTTCGGAAATACTAGTCAGAAGGTATACATATAATATATCGTTGGAAAGCAGAGTGTTTGAAGGTTACGGAGAGTGGCTAACAAAATATAAATAATAATTTCTAAACACTAATCAATTTCTCAAACCAATAGTGACGGGTGACGAAAAATAGATCATCCACGACAATGTAGTGCGCAGGAGATCGTGAACAACGGCTGAAGAGCCGGCTAATGCCACCCCTAAGAGCGGCCTACATCCGAACAAGATTTTGCTCTCCATGTGGTGAGATTATCGAGGCGTGCTGTTTTACGAGTTGGTTCCACAAAGAAAAACGATTGATTCGAAGAAGAAAGTTAGTGCAACTTGGCTGGGTTGTTTTATTATACCCACGGTATTTTTCATACCTTGCACCATCCGGCTACCACTTCTTCCAGTCCCTCAATACCTCTCTACGAGAAATAGATCGCGGATGAGGAAAAACTTATTTTGATCAGTTTCTAAGCTCCAGATGTTATACGAGAGCGAAGAAATGAAATTGTTAGATAGCAAGAGATAATTAATAAAAACGGTGAATATATTATTGAATAAACTATTGTTTGTATGAAAAAAAAAATATTTTATTTCACTCATCAAAAACCGAACGAACTTATGGATCCACCCAATACATAGAAACTAATGTTATCCATTGTACCTTCATATTATATTTATTATTAATTATATTTATTATATTTTCAACAAGAAAAAAATTCAATAAATATATTATTAATTAATTATTATTATTATAAGCTATAT